ACCAACACCATGTGGCCAAGACTGTGAGCCCAAAAATGAGACCTGGCCAAGGGATATCTCCATTCACAGGGTCACGAAACATGTGGAAGGAGTCAGGTCTTGGGAGATGGGAGGTGGTATTGGGGACTGTGGCATTAGGGATGTCCTGCTTGTATAGCTGCTGCAAGCCTGGATACCAGCCCACTTCCTGAAACCCTGTAGGGAGAGACACAGTGGGAGACAAGTCCCTGAGACCCCATTGGGCCCAGCTCTGCAGACCACATGTACTCCCAGCTCACAGGCCCATGTGAGCCCCTGGGTTTGAACTGACAAGTAGGTTTGGAATAAGAGAGGGCACTGGGCCTCAGGCTCAAAATTGCTTGTCTGGAGAAGTGAGAAGCTTTATTTTATGGAGGCATGGATTAGAGAATAGATATGTCTTTGTGCTCTAGAAAGTTCTAGAGGTGAGGATGAGGTGTATTCAGGTCTCTTTCTTACCCAGAAACATGAGGACCAGGGCTCCTCCCACCGTGATAACAGTCTGTAGAGCATCTGTATAGATCACGGCTGTGAGACCCCCTGAGGACCCAAGAAAAGGTTGCATCAGTCAAGCCAACAAGGTGTTCTTCTCTGGGAGCCCACCTTGTGCTTGGCTACACTGGGGGAGGGGAGAGGGAAACTAGAGAAGACACATAGCTCTCAACAGTGGTTAGCCACAGGCCCTTCTCCAAACCCCACCCTCCTCTGCCCCACCCAGAGAAGATGGAGGCAGGTCACAGATGAGTGTGTTCCGATGTAGAGTGTGTTCCGATGTAGATCTTTCGGTCCCTAGTATATCACACCATCAAAAGTCTGCTCTTGTCATCAGTATTCCTAGGCTCTCTGCGGGGCTCTGAGTGTCTCTTCTCCCTACCTCTATCTGGCTTTGATTTCTCACTTGTGCCCTTTCCACTAACCTTCCTCTCTTCTACTCTCTCTTACTATCCTCCTCTATGTGATTTGATTTTCTTATTTTATATCTTTGTCTTGGACCCCATTTATCTCTGTCTCTCCTCATACTATCTCTCTCAAGGTTAGTCTCCCCTGTCCTTTGTCCATCTTTCTCTTTCAGTCTTTCTCTCCATGTCTCCGGCCAGTGGAAACTTCCCTCCCTGCTTCACTGTCTCTGCCCAGTGTGACCTTCCCCTTGTCGTACCTGCTATGGTGTAGACAGCTGTCAACACCAGCAAGATCACTGTGGAAAGATAGAGGTTCCAGCCCAAGGCCAACTGGATGAAGAGGGCTCCAGAGAAGATGTCAGTCTGCAAAGAGCCAAGACCCACAAGTCCTGCCACCCAATGCCTCTGGGATGGCCGTTCATGGGTGTATCACCTATCTTCACCTACCTGTCTTCACACCATGAAGACAAGGCTGCAGAACCATGCTAACAAGTATGGGCTTGACTCTGAAGAACCACACTACGGAGTGAGCTTGACCTTGTAGACACGAAGGGTTGGTAGAGTTTAAAGTGAATCAACACTGCATAAAGCTTTGAATGTAAGAAAAGATTTAACCAGCTAGCCATGCTAGCTTTGTCTGTTGGTCATGAAAGGTGGGGTGAGTGGTGAAAGTGGAAGACGGAGGACATGAGTTGGAAATGGCAAAGACGAGGACATATGGGAGGAGAGACTAGGCGTCCACTGTTTCTGGCTGCTTTCTGATGCAGCAGAGGTCCACCTGGCTGGCTGCTCAGTGGGCCCTAGTGCATGCACCCATGAGTTCTGCATAATTCACATGCTTGGGCTATTACAGGGCTTGAGGTATAGACTTTACCACAGCTGATAGTGTTGGTGGAACAAGGGCCCTTAATGTTGTTTCATTCCTAGATCTGGAAACTGAAGAGTTGGTAAAGTTGGTTCTCTTCCCTTCATCTTGTGCTTTGTGAGCCCATTCCATGACTGTTTACAAACTGATTATGAAGTCTATAACAGGATAGTGTAGAGGTGACCTAGGGTGTGTTAGGGCCTTATCTGGAAACTGAAGAGTTGGTAAAGTTGGTTCTCTTCCCTTCATCTTATGCTTTGTGAGCCCATTCCATGACTGTTTACAAACTGATTACGAAGTCTATAACAGGATAGTGTAGAGGTGACCTAGGGTGTGTTAGGGGCTTAAAACTTCAGTTCCACTTCCAGAATAAACCGTCTGTGTAGACAGACCTATTTGATAGGTGCAGGTTTGTTTTTTGAGTTTAGACCAATAAAGAGACAGTAAAGACCTTTCTGACTCTGACATTCTGGGCAATTAATAAGCAATTGCTGAGTGAAGAATCAGTTAATGAAAAGATGAGTGACTGGACTCTAGTTTGATAGTTCTTTGAATGCAAGTTCTGATATTTATCATTTATCTCTGAGTGCCTCACTGCTGGGTAGGAACATGCACTAAAGGCATGTAGACACATATTTCCTTCCTTCTATTCTTCATTTCATCCACACACTCATCAGTTTTATTCCTCTCCCTCCATGCTCGTTCCCCCCCCTTTATCCATCCATCCCTTCCCTTATCCCTCCCTGCCATCGAGTGTCATCTTCTTCTCAGCACCAAGCCCATGGCAAGGAGGACACTTTGGAATAGTACCCACAGATATCTTGGTGAAGATGTAGAGTATGAGAGACAGGACTGACATGTACACCTGGATCCTCTGGCCCCCAAATCGCTTCTTCAGGTACTGTGGCATTGTAACCACACCAGCTGCAATATACACGGGGACAAAGATCCAGCCTAGGGCCAGGAGCAGGAAGGTTACCTGGGAGAACAGAGAGGAGGTGTCCAGATTGTAGACAAAGGTGCAGGGGTGACCTCCTACCTGGAGGCAACACATGTTGTGGAAGATTCCTGAAAAGGCAAATAAAGGCCCTGGGACCTGATCACAGTCTTTCTGGATAACCTCAGATGTGTCCACTCGTCTTCTCCAGAATTCGGTTTCTTCATCTGTATAATGGTTCACTATGAAGCTTTCCAAACACCTCTAAAATATCTATTATCCCTGGGGCCAAGAGTGGGGGTGGGGGAGGTAGATCTGACCCTTACCACTCCAGAGCAGCCAGGTCATCTTCCTTACAATCCACTCGAAGCCTCTAACAGCAAGGCCTCCAGCAGGCCAATGAACAAGCCACTGCCAACATTGCTGGACATCGGAGATGCTCCAATCTGCAAGGCACAAGTGCAGTCAAGGGTTAAAGATCATGTTTAGTCTGAAGCAATCTGGTTCGGAATCAACAACAGTGAGGAAGAAGAGGTTAGGAAATGCCCTAGGAACTTCAATGTCTTGATTTCTTTAATCTCTACAAATATCTGAAAGGAAGGGTATTAATCTTCCCAATTGATGGAGGAAAGAATTAATGTTAGGAATGATGATGTTTCTGGTTCAAGGTCACTCTGAAGAAATGGCAAAGTGAGAAAGAAGGGAAGCCAGGAGAAGGAAGTCCATGAAGGAAGACTAAATTCTGACACTGGTGCCATCAATCTAAGGGCATTCAGAGATAAGGATGCTGAGGGGAACAGTAGAAACTCTCACAGAGCGGATGGGAAAGAGTCTCCCCCCCCATCCCTAGCTCCTGAAGACTCCAGGGGAAGCCCAGGAAGGGGGAAGAACTAAGAGGCTGAGCCAAGGCAGGGCAGCATCTCAATGTGTTCATTTTTCTTCAGAACAGTGGCTGGATGCTCAAAGGCATTAGAACGTAGCAATAATGGTTATGAAGGCTAATCCTGGGTGTCAACTTGACTGGATCTGGGATTAATTGAAATGAGAGAGATCTTAATTGGATCATCTGAAGATGGAAGACATGCCCTAAATGTGGGTGTTACCTTCTGATGGCAGCCCCTGACAGTAAAGACCTTTCTGACTCTGACATTCTGGGCAATTAATAAGCAATTGCTGAGTGAAGAATCAGTTAATGAAAAGATGAGTGACTGGACTCTAGTTTGATAGTTCTTTGAATGCAAGTTCTGATATTTATCATTTATCTCTGAGTGCCTCACTGCTGGGTAGGAACATGCACTAAAGGCATGTAGACACATATTTCCTTCCTTCTATTCTTCATTTCATCCACACACTCATCAGTTTTATTCCTCTCCCTCCATGCTCGTTCCCCCCCCTTTATCCATCCATCCCTTCCCTTATCCCTCCCTGCCATCGAGTGTCATCTTCTTCTCAGCACCAAGCCCATGGCAAGGAGGACACTTTGGAATAGTACCCACAGATATCTTGGTGAAGATGTAGAGTATGAGAGACAGGACTGACATGTACACCTGGATCCTCTGGCCCCCAAATCGCTTCTTCAGGTACTGTGGCATTGTAACCACACCAGCTGCAATATACACAGGGACAAAGATCCAGCCTAGGGCCAGGAGCAGGAAGGTTACCTGGGAGAACAGAGAGGAGGTGTCCAGATTGTAGACAAAGGTGCAGGGGTGACCTCCTACCTGGAGGCAACACATGTTGTGGAAGATTCCTGAAAAGGCAAATAAAGGCCCTGGGACCTGATCACAGTCTTTCTGGATAAACTCAGATGTGTCCACTCGTCTTCTCCAGAATTCGGTTTCTTCATCTGTATAATGGTTCACTATGAAGCTTTCCAAACACCTCTAAAATATCTATTATCCCTGGGGCCAAGAGTGGGGGTGGGGGAGGTAGATCTGACCCTTACCACTCCAGAGCAGCCAGGTCATCTTCCTTACAATCCACTCGAAGCCTCTAACAGCAAGGCCTCCAGCAGGCCAATGAACAAGCCACTGCCAACATTGCTGGACATCGGAGATGCTCCAATCTGCAAGGCACAAGTGCAGTCAAGGGTTAAAGATCATGTTTAGTCTGAAGCAATCTGGTTCGGAATCAACAACAGTGAGGAAGAAGAGGTTAGGAAATGCCCTAGGAACTTCAATGTCTTGATTTCTTTAATCTCTACAAATATCTGAAAGGAAGGGTATTAATCTTCCCAATTGATGGAGGAAAGAATTAATGTTAGGAATGATGATGTTTCTGGTTCAAGGTCACTCTGAAGAAATGGCAAAGTGAGAAAGAAGGGAAGCCAGGAGAAGGAAGTCCATGAAGGAAGACTAAATTCTGACACTGGTGCCATCAATCTAAGGGCATTCAGAGATAAGGATGCTGAAGGGAACAGTAGAAGCTCTCACAGAATGGATGGGAGAGAGTCTCCCCCCATCCCTAGCTCCTGAAGACTCCAGGGGAAGCCCAGGAAGAGGGAAGAACTAAGAGGCTGAGCCAGGGCAGGGCAGCATCTCAATGTGTTCATTTTTCTTCAGAACAGTGACTGGATGCTCAAAGGCATTAGAACGTAGCAATAATGGCTATGAAGGCTAATCCTGGGTGTCAACTTGACTGGATCTGGGATTAATTGAAATGAGAGAGATCTTAATTGGATCATCTGAAGATGGAAGACACACCCTAAATGTGGGTGTTACCTTCTGATGGCAGCCCCTATAAAAGGCCAAGGCAGAGGAGAATGCCTGGCTTCTTGCTGCT